TAAAAGGGCCCAATACACCAGAAAGCTTTCTCTCTAGGACTTATTTTCAACAAATGTTGTAAAACCCACTAACAGCAGAACACTAGGGAAGGCAGACTAAGAGTACAGCCATATGTCAAACTAAGTATGAGTTGAATCCATGGTGCTGAGGTAGAAGTATGAATATTTGGCTTCAGTCTGTGTCAGGCGAGAATTACATTTGCCCATCTTGGTAGCTGCAACATCCGATGTTCCACCACAGAGCCCGAACACTCCTGAGGCTTGATGTAAAGTGGCACTGTAATGATTGTGTTATGCATTTTAGAATATTTGTGGAAGGGGGACGGAGCCTGCGCCTGAACCAGAGTGGACGCCTCTTGCATCAGGTCCGCTGAAAACATAGATAAACAAGTAAAAACCAAATCATAATACCCAATTGCACGGGTTACCCACCCGAAAACATTGTGAGCACAACCCTGACACGACATATGCCGTTCTTCCGAGCTGTCAAGGTGCCGAGGAAGAAACGAAAAACTGGGGCCTATCACGCCACCCAAAGTCTGGATTTGGCGGCACTGTTTGGCGCCTTCGCACCAACGGGAACACCCGGAGAGAGACCCTCAACCCAGGCTGAGCCAGCCGCCGAGATGGGATGTCAGTCCCAGAAATCGCCACCCCACACACCATCAGGGGCACAGGACATTGGGAATTTGCTCCAGCGACAGCCACAAACCAAAATGGCGCCTCCCGGGAACAGCATGGCTGCGGGCACACCCGAAAGCCCTCTTCAGGCCGAACCATACTCGCAGCCTGAACAGCCGCACATAGGGCAAAGCACACCGGTTGCACGGGACGGGTCAGCTCCGGTCACCCAGCAAGACTTCCAAAACCTGGTGGGTGAAATTAAAAACCTACTAGCGACTAATGTAACCGCCATAAAGGCAGACATGCAGAAGGTCACCGACCGAGTGAGAGTGGCAAAGGGGGATATCGCAGACCCTAAACAAGGTATGAACACTGTACATGTGGCTATCCAACACCTAAATGCCATGCAACAATCACTCTCACTACACCAAGCCACACTGCACGACAGGTCCAGGAGAAACCATCTTAAGATAAGGGGCATACCGAACACAGTAACCCCAGAAGAGCTCCCCCACTACATAAGACGGCTGGTGGCCACCATCCTACCAGCTGCCTAAGCCAGGAAAGTCACCCTAGATGGGACTTATCACCTGCCAAACGTCATAGCTCACTGCTCACACTCCCAAGACAAAATTTCCATCTGGTCAGCACTGCAGGGCAAGACACTGCTCATCTTCGAAGGCTCTATCCTAACCGTCTATCAAGACCTCAAATTGTACCATTTGTTCCTGCCATCAGCTCGGCCACACACCAAGAAACTTGATCACCTCCGGGACTGCACATCTGCCGGCAAATTGTTATACTCTAGTTTATTAGTATTGCTCACAGTTGTCAATTGCATGTTTAACTTAACACATACCTGAGAGTCCCCTAAGGAGGACCTAACATTCCTCGACTTCCAACCCCTGGCATTAGGGCGCTACCTGGTAGGTGCCTGGCTTCACACCTGCCAGCTCTCCCCCCCCCCAACCTCCTTGGTTAGGGGTACCACCAAAGGAGGGCCAGTCCACTCACTGTCAACAAGCACACCACACGCTATAGCGAGAGAGCCCCACATTGGACGGCCCTCCCCGACTCATCCCTAGCACCATTCCTGTCTAACCACCACGCAACTCAATGTCTCTAATTCCATGCATGCATCCATTTACACCAGCTCTCCCACGTACACCATAGCACATATGTTCAAACATTTAAAAAATGTGCAGAATATTCATCGTAATACCTGTTTTAACCACACAAGTTGCTTTATGTTTGTCAAATTCACGCTGTAGCTGTTGTGGCACAGCAGATTACTCTGTTGGATGTTACTCATGATATGCACAGAAAAAAATAGAATAAAAAAATAAATAAATGAATATTTGTGGAAAACTCATGAACAGTACATTTGCATTTCACTGGATTCTCAGTGAAATCAGAAGAAAATATCATAAGATGAAATAGAGATCTTGGTGTGCAAACATCTCCATGCACAATAGATGCCTATGGAATCTCTTTGTCCTATAAAAGATTCTGCAAGACCCCATTTTTGTAGCCCTGTGCATGTGTAAGTGTAAAACAGTGATGTACCTCAGAACAGATAATTCAGCGAGAAGCTGCGGAAAAATCTGAAAAGGATGATGGTAATACTGAAAGGATTAGGTAAGTATATCAATCTTCAACCTTCAACCTTTCAGCATCATAATGTGAGCTGATGTGTAAAATGTGCAAAATCGACATTAACCAACCCAGAACCATTGTTCCTGTGCTAACTAGTGACGCCATATTGATGCCTCTGAAGGCATAGTTACACCTCGGTCACCAAAGGGCTGTATCTCTGTATCTCCTAAACCAATGTATCAAAGAAAAATGTATAACCAAAGAGGGAGTGTATCGAAAAACAAATAGGCCCTCTCTGTAAAAAATTGAAGGAAATTCTTTATTACAGGCCTACCGCATCGTCTGTCCCGGCACACCACAACTGACTCGTACTATTTACTATTGAGTTACATTCATAACTCTATCAGCCTAATATGCAGATAAATCTCTTTGTTAATTCATCTGCAACTGACTCAAACTATTGAGAAAACTTGCTTAACCCTTATAGTGCCTCTGCAAGTTTTGTTTGATAGGTAGCCCTATTTTGCAAATTTTTACATAGTTACATAGCTGAAAAGAGACTTGCGTCCATCAAGTTCAGCCTTCCTCACATATGTTTTTGCTGTTGATCCAAAAGAAGGCAAAAAACCTAGTCTGTAGCGCTTCAAATTTTCCAAATTGGAAACAAACTAGGAAAAAAATTATTTATTGACCCCAAAATAGCAGTCAGATGTCTCCTTGGATCAAGCAGCTATTACCCCACTAATTAGAAATTATATCCCTGTATGTTATGTTTTTGCAAGTATTTATCCAATTTCAGTTTAAACATTTGTATGGACTCTGATAAAACCACCTCTTCAGGCAGAGAACTCCATATCCTTATTACTCTTACTGTAAAAATCCTTTTCTTTGTCTTAGATGAAATCTCCTTTCTTCCAGCCTAAATGTCTGACCTTGTGTCCTATATATAGCCCTGTTATCGTTTTATCCGACTTATGTGCTGCCCCCATACTGTGGCAGCTGTGGCTGATGGCACAAATTATAGCAGGTCACACTGGGTACTTGCTGCCAGGAACTGGACGGCTCAATACAGGAACAGAACATAGTCAGATAGACCAGATCAACAACTACTACTTGGTACAGATTGGGAAAACTGTTTTAGCTATTAGTGACAGCCTGGCTCAGCAACAGGAGAAATTTAAGAGACAATCTAAGCACGTTAACCATATATGATCCTTGTAAAGATTAAAAAGTCCTCTGTCTTGTCATTTGTCTCCTTTCAACATGTTGCTTGTTACTACAAGGATATGGAAAAAACACTGCTGATATAAGCCTCTTCCAAGGTAGTCAAGCTTTTGGCACAATTGATGTGGTCGATTACATCTCTACATTATCTTCTCCTGCCTGCACAATTATTCATATACCATGTGCAGCCATGCATATAAATGTGCACTGTATTTTACAGGTCTTCTCATAGCTTTCTAAAAGAGAGTCTGCAGGAAGACTGCTGGAGCTGGATTTACATCTGTAGGTTCAAAATTCCCATATGCCCTTACTTATCTACAAAAACAAAATCCAGTTCTCTGATGCTTGTTCAATAATTTGGAGGAGGCACAAGCAAGTTGGAGAGTACATCTGTCCTATAGAAAAGAATAGAAAAAATGCAATTATAAAGTAGTATAATAAAAAAAGAATATGAAAATATATCTAAAACCCCCCCACAACATTTGTAATAAGGAGAGGCACCCCAAGTGGACATTTGCCCATAGGCTGTCTACAGCTGTCTACTCTATCATTGGCAAATCTGACTCTGAATTCTGAACATGTGCAGGTCAATGTCTTCATTTTTGAGCAAAATTGCACTCCTCAGCTTCTATTTATCTTCACAATAGCTTAATTCATGTAATTTCATGAATTAAAGTACAGATGAGTGATAAACGACATCTGCAGAGGTTTATGCAATCAACTTTCCTATTGAGAAGAATGGTAGGAACTTTTAAAATTTATTTATTTTTATAATATTTTTTATTTTTGCACTACATAATGACATTACAAACACGCTCGAGGTGCCCCAACAGCAGTCCTCGTGCTAAGTATCCCGCATAACAATTGGGGTATTGAGAGAAACATGCACATTTTTTGTATAATAAGTACAGGCTAGGCAGTATACGTCTAGGTCGACTTTTAAGAAAGAGTGACTAAGCTAATTAAGTCTAAGCGTAGATTTGTTGCAATACACTACACATTTTCCTTATGTATTATGGGTCTAAACAGGCTACTCTTGGGCTTATAAATCACTGTAGTCTGGAGCCGCAGTGAGACAATCATAGTGAAACAGTGCTAAATTAGTGCTATAGCAGTGACAATGCTGATGCCACATGATAAGACGGTGATATACATTAAACATAAAAATTTTGCTCCCAAATCTAAATAATTTTAGTCGTCCTGAACAACTTAGTGAGATATTTGCTCTTCGAGAAAACGATGAGAGCTCTGTGGGCTAGAAATGATGTCTCTGTTAACCAATTCCTGCTGATGGGAGACGGTCGGCACCTGCTGGTGGTCCGTGGGAGGCTGCTGATGCGCAGGTACTCGTGAGGGTGTCCTTCTTGCCCTAGGCTGGTGCGTGGGCCTGCATCTCTTTGCCATGAACTCTGTGCCTACTAGAGTCCGCGTTTCCTCCCAGTGTGGGAGTAACAGAGGACCTGGTGATTTGCCTCTGCTTGTGGTGCTTGGGCCTCCGTTGGTGTGGATGATGCTTCCGGCTTGTCACCCGTCTGGCCTTCAGCCCGGGTGGCCCTTTAAAGTGGGGGTAGGTGGGTGGACTGACGCTGTGCCCGAGGGTTTCACCCTCACCTCTCGTTGCATGCGACCCCGCACACCCGTGATCTGTGGAGTGTGCTGTGCGGGCCGGGCTGCTTTTTGTCGCTCCCATAGTCGTTCCCAAAAGCAGTTAAAGATATCATCCAGACGCTTCATGGTTTCTTGGTGCGGCATGTGGTTTGTGAGCAGACTCTGCTTGAATGTCGTGTTGACCTCCGCCATCTTAGGTGTGCTGGGAGTATGAGCGCTGTGTCCTTGCGGTACAGGTTGATTCAAGCTGACCGCTCCAGACACCCAGTGAGGACCGGGATATCCCCCACCCCACGGGGTAAGAGATGAGTTAGCAGAGGGGTCTGTGTGTCGTGTTGCCAGCGAGGAAAGCGGCCGCCTCTCCCCGGCTCACTGACGGTTAGGCCCCATGCTCTGCTTGCAGGTTCCCGGTCTGTGTGTGTTGCAAGCTTGGTGTCGATCGATTCACCCGGGTGTCCCAGACTTGATTGTCACCTTCCAGATGGAGTACGAGCCGATTTTCTGGGGTTTTCCCCCCAGTTATGTGGCTTGTATCAGGAGCTGATTCTCGGCACGTCCATTCAGCCTGGAAGCTAGGCTCCGCCCCATGGTAGGACCTTTTGTTAACCATAAAGACCTTTTTCATAAAAATTGATTCAGGCCGAGTGGAGTAGTCAGGAGTGTTCTGATAATATACTCATCAGAGTTGGCTTTACACAGTATTAGGTTCCCAACCAGATTTCCTCACTAAACTGAATTTTCAGATGTTTAACCAGGGAATTTAAAATATTAGATTTCTTTTTAGGTGCAAGAATATGTAACGTAATGTTTTTTTTTTTTTTCCTGTGCAGGCACTGAGGAAGGCTATCATTTGTCTTTGGAGCTGGAATTTGATCTTCCTGTTTGCCACCACAGTTCTTTTGAGACTCCAGACATGTAAGTGACCCAGAAAGAACCCTTTGCATTGCCCAAGTGTGTAATCATTACAATGTGTTAAGTGCTCCAAGGAGGTTGGATGGATGTAACGTTCTCTATGATGAATAGATTATAGAGGAACTTTACGTTCCTCTAGTTTTGGAGCTGTTGCATTTTGGCCTATAATTGCTTGCACTGAATTGGCTTGGACTTTAAAAAAATGTTTTGTTTTTTTAAAATGCATCTCCTCTGTACCTTTTTCAAATGCATCTCCGTTGTACCTTTTTCAAATGTATCTCCTCTGTAGTAAATTTAGAAATTATTAACGTGCACTACCACTCTTTAATTTCTTGCAACACCTGGAATATATGATAGAATTGTATACCTGGTAAAAACAATCTCAATTAACAGAAATAAAAAATGTAACTAATTTTTATATGAAAATACAAGAAGTTATAAAATAAAATTAATAGATCACCTAATATAAAACAATATGGAACAGAAATATCAGACAGCTGCCAGCAATCAGTTACTGACTTGAGGGAATTATCAGCAGTGCTGATTAATTCCCCATGTTAATATTGCAATCTTAATCAAGTAATAATATACAGCACTTCAGAAGCACAAGGATATTTGTATATTGAAGTGAGGTTTGACATTTGAGTTATTTTGCATGTTACCCACAAGATGGCAGTATAAGAACGCTCATCTGTCAGCCTATAACAAGAATAAAAACCAAAAAACCCCACAAATTGCATGGATAAAATGAGGGAAATACCTAATAATTTAAAGGCCCTAACAAGGAAAAAGGCCACCCATTGTCACTGGAACTGCATCAGGCTTTCTTGCGTACTCATATGTTATGGACATAAAGTCTTTTTTTCTCCCCAAAAAATTTGTATTATGATTTTCACGTTACAAAAGTGGTACAACATAAGTGTTACAAAAGAAAAAAACTAAAACAAAGCAATACCTCGGCAGCTTCATACAACATATGCTGGTAGTTTATAGACAATGTGCTGGAGAGCAAAAATCAGATATTTATGAGTTACTAGGTATGAAGCCCATATCAACGATTTTGCAGATCACTGTAGTTTTCTGCAACTGGTTCAAGGAAGGCAAAGGCAAGAGAACTCATGTTACTATACACTGGAGTCATTATGGCGCTTGAAGTGTCCCTTCAAGGACTGATAACTATGCTGGATATATAGTACAGAATTGTAGATTATGCTAGCTTTAGTGTACCTATAATCTTAATTTTATTAATGACAGGAGGCGAGTATTTTCTTAAGTCTCTCTTTACTAGAACTCCACAGCAGCACAGAAAAACAACCAATCAGAAAAAAGTTAGGTACTATAAAGCTCCCCTCCCCATGCATCATTTACTCTTTCAAGCTGCGACAAAACAGAACAAAAGGCAGAAAATATAATGGGGAAGAAACAAAGTCCTAGATACAACGAATACAATAATGTCCACCATCCGAGAGGAACTGCCAAACCAGATAGCGTTGATTGACTGTCAAACCAGATAGCGTTGATGGACTGTAAACTGAAACGAGAGAAAAAACAGAATCGAACAGGTTTGTTAGCCAATGAAATGTACTCTGAACAAACATGTAGGTACCCAGTGTAGCAACCAAAATACCCTAATATGTAGATATCCCAACCCTACTTATGGAAAATAGACATAAGAACAAGTGACAGGTAGCAGAGACAACAAACAGAGTTGCATACGTACCTGATGAACCCAAACTCTAAAATTAAACCAGGGAGGCATAAGAATGGGTGGGAAATACTCGCCTCCTGTCATTCATAAAATTAAGATTATAGGTACACTAAAGCTAGCATAATCTACAATTTTATAACATGACATGAGGTTTCGTATTTGCTGTTTTAACGCTCAGCCAACAAATCCAACGTGGTTTGTTTCGCTGGTACCTATTCCGGGAGATAACCAGAGCAATCCCCAATGGACCCTCCAACTGCAAGAAGTGACAGTAGACGGATCAATGAAGATGCTAGCTGTCGATGTACCCCAAAATACGGGAAAACTCCATCCGTTGCAAGATCCACTGTACGTGGGGCTACGACCTGTTTCCTAGAAGACGTCCATGAACTGCAAAGCTGACTAATAGCTATTTCCCTGTAGTGTAAAACACTGAAGGTCATCCGTGGATTTTGGATCGCGGAAAAAAACTGCCACCAGATCTCGACCTTTGATGTGGAAGATGGCTTCTTCGATCGTGCTGGCAAAATTCCAACCTCAGGTAATGCGTCTGAGTCTACCATCATTTCCGTAACCGAACCGAGTCTTATCATTCCCTCATGACCTATTCGGTGAGTGGTCTCGTCCGAGAATGAACCTATTATGCCGGTAAGAGTGTTTCCAGTACTCCAAATGGACTGCGTAACCCACAACGGTGGTAGAATAAGGTACTCCCCAGGGACGTCCAATCAGAGTGCCAACTCTGAACTAGCGTAGCGAAATAGTGGTCAGTCTGAGGACTTGTAAATCCTGGATATAACCAAAAAGGGAAACTAAACCAGAGTATGAGATTTCCATCCAAATATAGTGATCCGGATCCAAGGGTAATAGGGCCCTGCATAGACGAAGAAGAGTCCTCCCTGTTGTACTCACGTGGAGGACCACAAAGTCTTCTAAATTGTTTCAAAGTGTAGGCCGGCGGACAAAAAAACGAAACGGCCCTGGTGGGCGGGTCTGAAGCAGGACTTCCGTCCGTGAAAACTGGCGACTGCTTAGGGGAGAGTGAATAGTCTGATTAATCACCTGTACGATCCTGTTCCATGCCAAACCTGTTAAAGTTTGTGGAAGCACTCATGGTCAGCACGCCACTTTCAAGATAGGGTATAATATAGTGAGACCGTAGGTCCCTGTATCCCTGACTGTCCGGGCACGTATCTCCACGAGTAGGACCCAGGGATGTGAATTTGAGAACCATGCTATAGGAATTCCTCCCTTCCTAGCCTGGAGTCCCACGAACTCCTAGCGTTCTCAAATATGCAGGTAAGACGTAAAGTCCCTTCTCTAACGACAGGAAACTCCGGAGAACAGATATAGTGAAAAAACAAGGTCCTAGTTTCAACCTTCCGAAGCAGGGTCAGTCCAGTATGGGAACATCGGCAGTCATATCCAAACCTGCTACCGATCCTGAGCATTACTCCACCTGTAGGTGGTGTCCCGACTTGTGACGTTTGTGTTGGAGTCAGGGTACACAGGGTTCCCCCCATAGAGTGCAAGCAGGCCTCCTTGACGGTAGTAGCATAGGTGGGTTAGCGGAAACTCACAACCAAGACGGTTCCCATGAGGGATTAAAGCATACCAAGAGGGTCCTCCATCACCAAATTATGTTCTCAGAATAGCAGAGGCAGTCCTGTCCTCTATCCCAAGGTTGTAAACAACCAGGGAACCCAAAGTCGACCGAAGATTCCACTCTCTCCATGCAATCTAAGCGTACGTGTACCTGTAGCCCAGGTTGTGGGCCTTCCCCAGTCTTGTCACGAGGGTAAGGCAGTGCCTGTTTTCTCTATGAAGGCCTCAGGGTCTCATGTCACCCTGACCTTGTAAAAACAGTCTGAATCGTTTGTACGCAATGGTCTGTATAACAGGGTGCGATTGTTAGTTTAATATAGCGTAGATCATACTAAGGCCTGCACTCTTGTAATAACAGGGGCACCTCCGTTAGCCATACCATCTCCAGGAGTATATCCCATAGGGAGGTATAGGGTCACCAACAAAATGGGTCGATCCTGGGAGCTGTACCCAAGATGGACAGTTCAAACAGCCCCTACACTGTCTCAAGAGTCTCAGGGGAGCGTGTAAAAAAGGTGCGGAACCTCCCCCAGTAATACCTCAGTGAGTATCTCGCGTGAGATATCGTGGTACGGACCCAGCAGGTCCATTATAGAAGGTGAAATAGAGAAATCCGGTCTAAACAGTTATACCCTGCACGATCAGGTAGCCCTCTATAACGAAGTCAGTAGCACGGATGTTAGATTAACCCCTTAAGGACACATGACATGTGTGACATGTCATGATTCCCTTTTATTCCAGAAGTTTGGTCCTTAAGGGGTTAAATGGATGGGTTCTCTCCCCTTACCCAGTGGTTAAGAAGCATCGTCACCCTTGCATACCGGTGAAGTACTAAACTCCTGTATAAGAGCTGAAGCATGAGCGGTAAATCCGGAGTGTGACGGAAGTGTGACGGAAACCGTGGTTGCGCGCTCGGGGATCTTCATAAAAAGCCTTGCCCCTAGGGCATGAGGTTTAGGACCTTCACCCTACCAATCACATTTAGGTGCCCATATACCGGTGTCTTCTTGGACAGTATGACAGCAGTGGTTGCCTGGACATCCACCTATTTCCATGTCCATAGTGGGTACTGGGCTTACCTCCGTGATATTCCCCCAGGCCTGCGGCCAAAAGGGGGTTCTGGCACAGACATAGCAGGCCAGTCAATGGGGCACAGACATAGCAGGCCAATCAATGGGACACAGACATAGCAGGCCAATCAATGGGGCACAGACATAGGGCCAAACATAGGTGTAGTGTTCTGCCAGTAGCAGGAGACCAAACTGCACGGATAGAGCTTCCTCTATATATAGTGATGTCGCGAACATAACATTTTCAGTTCGCGAATGGCGAACGCGAACTTCCGCAAATGTTCGCAAACCGGGCGAACCGCCATAGACTTAGGTCAACATATGGCATGGTGTAGGTAGAACTTAAACTAGGCATGTCAGGAGAGAGAGCTGTATAACATGCTATCTATAACAAGTGAACTCTATGCACTGCAGAAGCAGCAGTTGGGAATAGGAGCTTGCGTGTAAGAGTCACCAACTCAGATCACCCAATTCCACTCTGAGCAGAGTACAATCCCGCCGCGGTGTGGCAGTCGCCAAATTCAGTAGCTCCAGCGTGGGTCGAGGGGACAATAAGCTAAAGCATGGGGTAGGGCTGTGTGCTGGACCTGGAGACCCCTTCGGCACCTCAGGCTTTCGGTGGGGAGTTTGGTATGACCGCTTGTGCAGTAATGATGTTAGGTTGCGCCTGTCCCCTGCTCTCTTAAGATGTCCTGGGTGACTCCGCCGTTGTCAGGTTCGCCTGCTGCCTGGATCTACCTTCATTCGCCGGGAGTACAGTGAAAGCTGCCGGGTTAAGTGTGCTTGCAGGACTTGTGATTCTCTTCTGTACTGGCGTTCAGCAATTCTCCTCCAGAACTCTGCAAAGAGCAGGTCAAGCTTAGAGGGGGTGATGGGTCTGGGCTCACACATGGCACCCGCCATCTTAAGTTGCTTGCCAAGATTCACCATGCGGTCCGGTATAATATCACGGCCCCAAGAGTGTGTGCCGGGATAACCCCAACCAGTGGAGGTGGGTGGGGGGGAGAGTAGGAGAAGATCCTCGGAGGCACAGGAGAATAAGCAGGAGGCGGAGGGATCGGCCGCGTCCCCCACACCACTTTGCCAGCAGCAGGCTGCAGGTCTGCTCAATGCTGGATCTGCCTTACAAGACAGGATTGGCAGTCGGACGCACTCCAATGGGAGCTACAAGGTATGGCCTTACTTCAGGCGAGTGTAAATCGTAGGATGCGGGTAATAAATGTATAAATAGAAAATAAATGTAAAGTATTTAACCCCTTAAAATTGGAGGGCGCACTATTACGCCCTATTCTAAGTGGCTCTAAATACCGCAGGGCGTTGTTTTTTTTTTAATTACCCGGTTGCCGCCGATTCCACGCAGGCGATCGCGGTTGGGAAGACTCACCTGGGATCCCAGGGAGTCCCCCGCGGTGGATCCTGCCTCCTCCAGCCCCCCCCCGGCCATGTGAGAGTGAGGTCCTTGCGAGGACCTCACAATCACATGGCCGGGTTAGCTGGCTGCTGCATTGCCAGCAGGGGGACTGCCTGTAATGACAGTTAGTCCCCCTGCTGGCTGGAAATCAAATTAAATTAAATTAAAATCAGTGTAAAAAAAATAAATAATATACTTAGATCATATATATATATATATATATATATATATATATATGATCTAAGTATATATATAATATACTTAGATCATATATAGATATATATATAATATATATATGATCTAAGTATATATATATATATATATATATATATACACATATACATACACACACATACACTGTCTAGGTGTATTTTACTATTAATATGGGTCTGGGCTCACACATGGCCGGGTTCGCTGGCTGCTGCATTGCCAGCAGGGGGACTGCCTGTAATGACAGTTAGTCCCCCTGCTGGCTGGAAATCAAATTAAATTAAATTAAAATCAGTGTAAAAAAAATAAATAATATACTTAGATCATATATATATATATATATATATATATATATATATATGATCTAAGTATATATATAATATACTTAGATCATATATATATATATATGATATATATATGATCTAAGTATATATATAATATACTTAGATCATATATAGATATATATATAATATATATATGATCTAAGTATATATATATATATATATATATATATACACATATACATACACACACATACACTGTCTAGGTGTATTTTACTATTAATATGGGTCTGGGCTCACACATGGCCGGGTTCGCTGGCTGCTGCATTGCCAGCAGGGGGACTGCCTGTAATGACAGTTAGTCCCCCTGCTGGCTGGAAATCAAATTAAATTAAATTAAAATCAGTGTAAAAAAAATAAATAATATACTTAGATCATATATATATATATATATATATATATATATATATATATATATGATCTAAGTATATATATAATATACTTAGATCATATATATATATATATGATATATATATGATCTAAGTATATATATAATATACTTAGATCATATATAGATATATATATATAATATATATATGATCTAAGTATATATATATATATATATATATATATATATATATATAGATATATATACACATATACATACACACACATACACTGTCTAGGTGTATTTTACTATTAATATATATATATATATAATTATATATATATATATATAAATATCAAATTACACGTAGACTGATACTGATTAAATATATATATAATTATTGTTATATATTTATATATAAAATATAAAAAAAAGAATACATTAAAAAATAAAATAAAATAAAATAATTAAAATAAATAATTAAAAAATATATAGATGTGTGTTATTTCGTTCTAACTGTATTGTGAGATTAATATATATATATTTATATCAAAATACACGTAGAACAAAATATATATATCTATATACATAAATATAAATGTATATATCACTATATATATATACCTATATATAAATAAAAATATTTAAAAAATTTTTTTATATATATATATATATATACATATATATATATATATACACATACGTATATATACATATATTAATTCTCCCGAGTACAACAGTACCCCTCATGTACAGGTTTTTTTTTTTTTTTTTTTTGTTATGCAGGTGAGTACAAGGCGCATACATACGCCACAACAGAGTATATTTATGGTTAAACATAGGTTAAACTGTGGCATGGAAAAACTTGCACATTTTTGTTTTAAATAACAAAGTAATCTAGGCACACATGTTCAAGTGATAACAATCCGTATGAGATCGAACGTGTTTGCAGCATCCTGACCGCCTTGGTATTTAGAGATTGTACTTAAGAATAATACAGTAACATGGTATAAACAGTTGCACCAGTCTGCGATTCTGTGCCATGATGACTAATGTATTTAGATAATCAGGCATTAACTATAGCAATAACAAGCTATTGAATAAACTGTCACATTTTTGTCATGAGTGACTTCATAGACATGTCCTAGGAGGACAAAGCAATAGCTCTTAGTCTGCACTTTTTTGTTACTTATGCACCAAGTGCCACTGCTGGTGTGTGGAAGAATAACAGGGTGAAACTGGGGGTTAAGTACGGTTTGCATAACCTGGATTAGATAAAGGGACCTATGCCTATATGTACATGCTCGGGGACGATGCCATTGTATGCTGAGTGGATGAAACCGCTAAGCTATGCAGAGAGTGGATGTACATTTATAAGCTCTATGTTGGTTGTCAGTGAGGGGACACATAAGCTGCACATTAAAATTAAGATCCAGACAGGGATGACAAAGTGGAATGTAAGTGGTTAACCTGGAATACTCTTGAACTGGGGATTACTAAAGAGCATGTTAAGCTTGCATTCAGCTACCATAGTTATGGCATGTAGCATAGTGCTTGACTTGGTTGTCAGCCTATCCCCATCATAGGGAATTTACTGTCCCACAGAGCAAGGGCTTGCAAACCCACAGCCGGAGGTGGTAGCTGCTGATCTCGCTTGTGCAGGTGCCTTTCTCCCTTCTCCTCGGCTCTCTGCTTGTCGTTCATGTGTTTCAAGGGGCTGTATGGCTGTGGAGCTCCACGGCTCACCGCTTGTCTGCTCATTGCCTTTCGTTGCGCGGCTTGTTTTGCGGCACGCGGGCGCTTCCTCCGCCGTCTCAGGCGTAGCGGGCCTCTGGCGAGTGCTGTCGGGCTGCTTGGTGTGTGACAGGTAGGTCGCATAGGAGTTATCACGGTCTCGTGTAGTGTCTGCTTGGCCCTTAGCTTCTCCCAAAATGCTTCGATGAGGGCATCCAGGCGCTGGAGAGTAGTGGATACCACTCCTCCTTGGGTGAGGGCCACCGCGGCGTCCGCCATCTTAGGGAGACCTTTGGCGGTAATGTCGGCTTCTAAGGTACTGCCGTGGCTCCTTGGTGGGTCACGAGAGCCTGCCGGGTGGGGACCGGGATAACCCCCACCGGTCCAAAGGGGGGGGCAGCGGGGTATCAGTAGCTCGCTTGGGGCTCCGGCAGCGCCTGTCCGAGAGAGCGGCCGCCTCTCCCCCCCAGGGCGCCCACTAGGCCCCATTGCATCTTGGCTACCAGATCGCTTGAGAGGGCTGCAGGGTGTGTTCCTCGGTCCCTCTGTCATGTCGTAGGACTGAGAGGGGGTATCAGGCTTAGGTATAGTCGCTGGATTAGCTCAGGATCTCAGTTTGTACATTACGTTCCAGGGAGCTCCCCAGAAACACGTCTAGTCGCCATGCTGGTCAGGCCCCGCCCCCCCTCATGTACAGGTTTTATGGTATTTTCAAAAGTTACAGTGTCAAATATAAGGCTTGTTTCATTTTTTGTGACCAAATAGCTACAAAAAAAGACTGGACATACCCCATTTGCAATACCTTGGGTTGTCTACTATTGCAAATGGTATGCCATTATGGGTGTAAATTTCATTCCTGGTCTACTATACAGTCTCAAACAGCAACGTAACCAATCTGGCGAATTTCAATTTCAAATGTAACGTGCTATATTTGACCTTGTAACTTCCCAAAACACCATAAAACCTGTACATAGGGGGTACTGTTTTAAACGTGAGACTTTGCTGAATACAAAGATGTGTATTTTATTGCAGTAAAAGCAAACAGTATAATGACACTGACAGTTAAAATGTCATGTATGTAGCTGTACTTACCCTTTCCAGGGGCCGGCCGGGGTCCTCTGTTCGAGCCGCGCGCGGTCCTACTGCTGCACGAGCCGCGCGCGGCTCATCCGACGGCTGTAACAGGAAGGTGGGCAGTGACCACGAGAAGCGGACACGTGTCCCGCCTAACTCTAAGAGCGCGCCGCGGGTCTCGGGCGGGCTCTTAAAGGGACAGTGGGAGCCTAAATTTGAAAAGGCATCCCATTGGTCCCTGTCATGCCACACTCCCCATACACTTACCTTTTGGGGGCGTGGATGTGACAGGGACCAATCAAATTAGATGTTTAGGTATATATACTCACCTTTTTCCCTTAGTTCCTTGCCCTATCGTGGTTTCTGTTTCAGTTCCCTTTAGCGCTTGTTGTGTTCAGTTGTGTTCCTTCGTACTTGACCTTGGCTTTGTTTCTGACTACGTTATCTCTTTATCCTTATCTGTTCTGGTTGCCGGCTTGCTGTTTTCTGTGTACCAGACCCCGGCTAGTCCAAGTTTACGCTGTCTCTTTGTGCCCTTGACCTCGGATCGCTCCTGACTCTGTATCTCTCTCCTTTACGTCGAGTCCGGGCACTCTAAGGTCCGGTAGACGTACCTTCCCTCTGTGCTGACATTTGTTTAGCTTAAATCCTGCGTGTTGGGGTATATTTTCGTTACATTACGATAAGGCCATGGACCCCGCAGATTTAGCTCAGCAGATGGCTTCTCATGAGGCTAGATTTGTAGAGCAGGATCACCGTATGGATCAGATATCCCAGGCTCTCCAGACGCTCTTATCTAGAACTA